CCCCAAAACCCCAAAACCCCAATAAATGTATATAGGAACATTTTTTACGTTAAAAATATTGAATAAATATTCTTATCAACCAATTGAGATCATACAAACTAAACAATCAATAGTTTTATTACAAAAATAATCCAATTATTTCAAAAGCTCCATTCATCTTCCAGATTATATTTTTTAAGCTAAGCGTTTGTATCAAGCTTTTATGCTAAATTGCTTAAGAAATTTCTTTTTAGTTGCACTCCTACCTTATTATTTTCAAGGTCTATTTTCTTCTAACTGACATTCTAACGATATTCATCGCTTAGATTTTTTAATATTCTCTTATCAATCTTGGATTTTTCACTTTACATAATGAGTGATGAGATAAATATCTTTAATTTGTTATCATCAATCTTTTTAATTTCTTGAATTTCTTTGACATTAAAATCTGCATCCCTTAATTTAATATCATTCTTCGAAAGTACATTATTTCTTAGGATTGGAATGAAGAAAGATTGATACTTTGAAAACATCGTCTTGAATATTAGATCAACCTTCCTCACCGTTTTAATTACTCTTACAATATCGAATTCGTTTTCTATTGTGTTACGAGCTTTCTGGTATAACTTGTTTTGGATATGTAATTTGTTAGGTATTTTACCTTTTGCGCAAAGAATTTTACAGTAAAGCTTCCTAAATTTATAGCAAAATAAATCAGAGTATCCGTATTTAAAGGTTTTCAAAGTCTTTACAAAATGAAGAACTTTTTCAGATATAATTGAATTAGGATTCGCTTGAGGAATCAGGGATTATTACTACGAAACTTTAGGCATAAATTTGATTCTAACAGTTCCTATTGGAGAATTTGTATTTGACCCTAAACTATTTAACTAGCGAACACCTTCTTCCTTATCGTCAGGATTAGTTTGATAGAATATTTTACTAATAATTGAAGACATGAATAGTTTTTCTTGTATTGTTTCCATAAAATACTAAAAGAATGCGAAAGCTATCCCCATTAGTCCTCCAACAATCGAGAATGCATCTAAGATAGTCATTACAGTCCTGCCAGTCTTTATATACCCCTCATCCATATCAATCTCGACACTGAATAAACTCCAACCTGCATCCAAATCTCTTGTTCCTATTTATGTATACTCTAATCTACCAGTATAATAAACAAACTCATCACCAAACAAATTACTTGTTAGCCAAGAATCAGCAGTATTTACTATATTTTAAGTATATTTCATCATTTGGTTATTGCTAATATATTTATTTAGAGGCCAGTAGTAGTTCTAAATATTGTTAATTATAGGATTAGGGCCATAGTTATTGTGATCGAAATATTAAGTAATGTAGGAAAAAAACACATTCATATAGGGTAAGATCGCTTCACTTTCTTCTTAAGTTTTGCATTTCAAGTTCTCTCCTGGATATCATTCATTAAGGATTTCCTGATCACAGTAATCGACAGTTGCATAAATTATATGAGCGCTTTTTGAAGATGTACCACCAGATAGTTTCAAGTTGAAATTTTCTTCAGGACAAAGGTAGTTTCCAGTTATGTTTATAAGTTTGGCAGTTCTATTCTCCCCTAGAAATCTACCTTCCTTGCAAATTTCTATTCCTATTGGCATGTAAACCCAATCATTTCCAGTTCCCCAGGTGTATGGGTTATCTTCAAAAAATATTTGATAGAATTTGGCAGTGAAATACCTATGAATGTTATCTTACACTCCCTCTTCAGTCCCAAAATAAGAAATGAAAAGGGCCATATCAAATTCATTTTTGGTCAGATTAAACGATGTTTCATCAAATGATAAATCCTTTTTGTAAATTGAATTAACAATAGCACTTTGAGATCTATTGATAACAGTAACAAGATTTGATAGGAAATATCCCAAAAGCAAAAGCCTTAAGGCTATTGTCATGAATCCACCAATAGAGCTTCTAAATGTTGGTTAATTTTGGTAATTAAGTGAAATTTTGTGACCAAAAGCATCTTACGATTTCAAGAATCTTCTGAATTTCTTTAAGAATTTAGGTCCATTGGTAGCAGTTGTCATTAAATCGAAATTTAAATAAAATAGGTTGTGATTTTATATATTCTAATAGTTAGTATTTTTTATTCTATGATTTTTACCAAAAGGGGTTTTGGGGTTTTGGGG